TCATTATACTAGTCTCTTAGCTTTTGCATATGTCCTATATTCAATATTTTGCATACGCCCTACATTCAGTATTTGTTTTAAATTTTGCCTGAGGGAGTATTGCTCATCTGGGAGAGAGAAAGAAAAAAGAGAGAGAAGACACCCACCATGCAGGATGGGCATGCCGCAATCCCTACTCCTCCATCTCTGACTCCTTTGGTATTTGGGGCATGAAAGCAAATGCACCTGTTGTGTTTCTGAAGCCACTGGATTCAGGACTCAAACGGTGCCGTCGGCCATTTGGGATCCAGCCACCTTAACCACCAAGCCACCAGCTGGCCCATAGAAAAAAATTTTAAATAAATCAATCTCTGCTGAGAGGTACTCTCCCTGGATGGGAACGTGTATATTTATATAACAGATTACTTCATATCTCCATTTGACTTATTTGCTTTCTGATTACCTACATCATTACAAAATGCAAAGTTTATGTGTACTACAATCATAGAGCCAAGAATCATTTTAATGACATTACCAAAGTAGACTGAAGGTCTGTTCAAAGATGACTTGTTCCACACTTCCCGTCCTTCCTGTTTGTCTGGGCCTTGTTCCTACTAAGATGCCCATTTTCTATCTTCTAGAATACTGGGTTATTATAACCCAGGTGCAAAACTACACTGATTAGATTACCCTGAGAACCAAGTAGTCTCAGGTCCTGTGTACTCCACTTGACACCGTTGTAAAAGTGACTGCTACATTGGCTTGTGTTCTGGTGGGAAGGAGGCTTACGAGCCCTCCTTTCTAAATGGATTTTTTAGTGACAGTCTTACTTTACTCAACAGAAAATGCTCAACTGGAGGAGGTCTTCATTTGTATTACTACCGTGGCTACAATGTTATTATGAGCCACACACAAAAGCATCCTTCAAATAGCCAAAACTCAATTCCTGTTCACCACAGATATACAGCACATGTCAACAGATACATAGAAGAATAGATTTTTGCCCTCATGAATCTGCTATACTTGGCTCATCCTAGCAATGACCAATTTTTCATTGTCCCTGCTGCTTATCAATTTTTCAAAATGGTAGAGCATTGGAGTGAGCCCGAGACATTCATGTACTACCACAAAGTAGTCCATGGGACAAGACTGCACTTGAACGTTATGATGAGTCATTATTTTTTAAGGCTTACACATAGAAGGATGGTTCTGCCAAAGGAAATCATCAATTTTCCCATGAATGTGTCAGCTGGTTTCTTAACAAAGAGGTCTACTGTCTTGAACATGAAAAAACACAGGTGTCTCAGGTTTCATTCTCATCTCCTATGGCCAAACTGTACTCAGTACAATGGCTGGAGCACTTATGAACAGGGTCTGGAGACCACCCCTGCAGCACGGATTCATTCACCTCATGAATTTGACACGGGCAAGTACACCTGGATGACCATAAGAGTATAGCTTGCAAGATAATTACTGCACGGGCGGAACTACCACCAAATGAGCAGCCCCCAGGAGCACTGGAATGCCAAGCTCTACTGAGCAAACACACTGATTATTTCTCAAGATGTAGTTATATTTAAACCAATTTGCATTGCAGTTCATTTCATAGAAATTACTTCACAGCTTCAGGAATCCCCTGTGAAATCCTACATACCAATACTACACATTTAAATTTCTTATTTTTCAGCAGACTAATAAATAACGAACTAATCACTGAACCATCATGTCTTCATATAGCCCTGCATCAGATCTCACAGGCTGCCAGTTATTTTACTAATGTCTAACACGACATTCATCCTGGGACCACAGGATCCTACTACTTAATGAAGATACAGAAGAGAGAATGAAATCAGTAAGATAAGTCATTCATGTGATAGAAGATTTAAAATGAATACCAGGAGTTAAAATTTTCTGAACTGAGTGGCATGGCTCAGTCAGGCGGATCAATCGAGCGCCAGCAGTGCAGGAGAAACACTGTGACATTAATAGCCATCTCTGATTCCTACCAACCTCTCTCTTCAGCCCAGCATTTCTTTATCTAGTCTCACGTTAGAATGTATAATATTTTGAGGGACCAGCAGATGGCATAATGGCTATATCGCGGGACTCCCATGTAGTCGACTGCAGTTCAAGTCCCAGACCCGGCGGCTCAAGCTCACACCAGCCGCGCATTCATGGGTGCCAAGGATCCCGAGAGGAGAATGGAGGAGAAGGGAATGCAGCATGGCCATCTCCTATGGGGGCAGTGATTTCTCGCTTTCTGTCTCTCTCTGTCTTTCTGACGCGCACACTCCCTATAGCAAAGAAAAAAACAAAAAACAATTTATAACATTTTGGGAGGCCAGCAGGTGATGTGGTGGTTAAGGTACTGTACTTTCACATGGCTGATCAATTTGAGCCCTGGACTCAGCAGCTTGAAAAATCATACTATGGCGTGTGTGTGTGGGCCTAAAATCCCAAGAGGAGAACGGAGAAGAATTGCAGCATGGCCATCCATGGGGGTGCTTTATCAATTTCCCCTTCTCTCTCTCTGTCTCTCTCCAGTAAACACACATGCCCTATGACAAAAATCTAAAAAAAAAAAAAGAATTTATAACACTTCTGGGAGCCAGTTATGTGCAAAGATGGTCTTGCCAAACTTTGGTTGAAAACATTAAGCTAAGCCAAGTTTAGGTCACACTATTAATGAAGTCTGTAATGGTGCTCAGCACGATACAGTCACAGGTATTAAGTGAATGCTGATTTAAGATAATGCCTCCAGCTTTCCCAACTAATCACAGCACCCTTCTGCAGAGATCCTGGACTGAGTCAAGTCCGCCTCCACATTGGTACATTGTGGTACACTCATTGGTCCACTCATTGTGTACCAAGTACTGAGCTCAGAACCATAAAGGGATTCCAAAAAGTTCACAGAAAAAAATGCAATTAAACTTTGAGTTTATTTAGGTGCAAAGAAACTTGAAAAGCATGTGGGGTTTTTTTAATATTATGTATTTTCCAGAAACTTTTTGAAGACCCTACTTGAATATGAGTAGCATTCCACTCTAACAATTACTTAAGTATCATTATTAATCTCACTTTATGGGTATGGAAACAGACTCTGAGATGTGAACTTGCCAAAGTCAGGATTTCATACCTGAATTCAGAGTTTAACTCAAGAGCCCTGTTCTTAGCTACTATGGATTTCTGCTTCCCCACCACTGAGGTTGATGCATGACCTAAAGCCTACGCCACTCCAGAGAAGCAAGATCACTGGTCAGGAAAATCAGCAGATGGGTGTCTTCACCAACTCATACTTACTGGACTTGTGGATCTGATCCTTAATTTACTCATCTGGGAAAATGTCTCCACGCGTAGGGCAGCGGTAGGGGTGACACAACTAGTACCTGCTACAATTGTTAACGCAGATGAAAAATATTAAGATTATTCCAATCTACAGTTTAGTGATCTCTGTATCTGTAACTGTCACACATTAGGATCACACTATTATGTTCACATAACGAATATAATCAAGTAGGAAGGTCATTTAAGACCGTCACAGAAAGTCTTCTCATTCAGTGATTCTCAAGGAGATGGTGACCTATGGGCCTTTCCCAAGAGGACATTTGCCAAAATGAGGTGTATAAATAAATGAGATGAAGGGCCAGCAGGTGGCATAGTGGTAGGGTGCTGGACTCCCACAGGGCCAACCGCAGTTCAAGTCCCAAACCTGATGCTTGAAAATCATGAGTGCATATGTGCCCAAAATCCCAGGAGGAGAACAGAGAAGGGAGGGCAGCATGGCCATCCCCCTAGGAGGTGATTTCTCGCTTTCCCTCTCACTGTCTCTTGGTCTCTCTCCAGTGGGTGTACATGCCCCACGGCAAAAACCTTTTTGTAAAAACTGAGATTAGTTCTACAAGTGATTCTATTGCACCCTCCGGCAGAGTCCCACCTTAGTATGTAGTCTACAGAGTACGTAAATGTAGAAGAGTAATATTTGCAAACTACATTCTTTCTCAGCTACTCTCTGACCATTAGACCTAGGGAAGCTATTTACATTCTATACACCTAGCGCAGTGACCGCCTTGCACAAATCTGCTCAATAAACTTTAGTTATTATTTACAAAAGCCCTATCTGGTGGCTCATTTGCATTTCTTTCTTTCTTTTTTTTTAAGACAAGATTTTTGAAGGCTGGCAGGTGGCATGGTGTGTTAAGGTGCTGGACTCCCAAATGGCTGACCATGGTTCAAGTCCCAGACCTAGTGGCTGGCTTGCTTTCTCTCTCTCCTCCCCTCTTCCCCCCGACCCCGTGCATGGATGTGTGATCAAACTGAAGAACAATAATAGTAATAAATAAAAATAAATAATTATTTAAAAAAAAAAAAAGAGAGAAAGATTTTTGCTTGGAGGCACGTGCACTCACCAGAGAGACAGAGAAAGGGAGACAGAAAGCGAGAAATCACTCCCCCAGGGGGGATGGCCACGATGCAGTCCCTTCCCCTGCATTCTCCACTCAGGATCTTGGACACACACGCACATGCACCTGGCATGAGTTTTAAGTTGCCGGGTCTGGGACTCGAACCACAGTCAACTATGTGGGAGTTCAGTGACATAACCTTTTCACCATCTATTGGTACCCAACGTACCTGCATTTCTTAAATGCAATAAATAACCTATTCCAGAGATATTAGTTTGATAATTACTACCATGAACTCAAATCAGCTTTTTTGAAACTATCTCTGGTTATCTGTTCATTACGTGTAAAGCACAATAGAACACACTCACTCCTGTTTGACATAAGAAACATAATCCATGCCTATTGCACTAGGGGAGTTTAAACATCCGTCATACTACTTAAAAAAGAAAAATTCACCTTCTTCCAATGATTAAATCATTAAAGACCAGCCGGTCCAAAAAAGTTTGCATTTCAATAGAACTAGCTTTATTTATTTTAAACAAAAGAAATGGTCTGAAAGCAAATGCAGATATGTACCAAGGGGTGGACAAAGCCTGGTACTTACAAAGGAGCTGCTGTGTCATAATGGAAACAGCATTATTAGGAGAAGAACAGAATTTGAGGTGCTCTCTGCTCGAGGAAGCCGGAGATGCAAGGTAACTGAAAGGAGGTGCTCGGCCCAGCAATCGGCACGGGGATGAGACAGACGCCACCAGGACTTGCTTCCAGAGAACTACGGAGTGACGGCATGAGGACGGGCATCAACTCACGGTCTTCTCGTTCTCCCCATTTTCTATAATTTTCCTCTTCTTTTCGTCTGTTTTTTTCTTGAAGATGTTGTTTCGGTAAAACTGAAGCTCTTTGATGCTTTCGCTAATGTCATCGAGTGCCCTACGAGCAAACATACCGTGCTAAATGAAATGCCCAAACCAGAGGAGACGGAAAGCATTTTACGAAGTGTAATTTTTTATGAGTAACAAGAACAATGGGTACTACTGTAAATGCCACTCGCTTGCATCAAGAAGTGGAACATTTCAGTACAGAAATCTGAAATTAAGAAAAAAAAATTCTTGGGACCAGCAGTTAGCGTAATGGCTGTCGCTGGACTCCCATGTAGTCAACCGCGGTTCGAGTCCTGGACCCGGGGGCTTAAAACTCACGCTGGGCGTGTGTGCATGCGTGCCCAAGATCCTGAGAGGAGAATGGCGGAGAAGGGATTGCAGCATGGCCATCCCCCCCTAGGGGGTGATTTCTCACTTTCTGTCTCTCTCTGTCTTTCTTGTGAGTGCACGTGGCCTATAGCGAAAACCTCTCCAAAAAAAAAAAAAGAAAAAAAGAAAAAAAAATTCTTGATTAAAAAAATCATAAAATATAAAAGATTAAAATTTCCCAAACTGTTCCATAAGATGGTAATGTGTTCCATGGCGGGAGGGGAAGAAAAAAAAAAAAAAAAAAGAAATCCAAGGTCCAAAAAGTTTAGGAAGAGCTAGATGAAATATTTCTTTTTTAAAGTTCTTTACAAAGTATTTATTCTACTTGTGCGTGTGATGCATTTCCCAAAGGAGATTGTACTATATACACGGTATTTCTAAACCTTACAAATTAACCATGAGTGGAATACTTATTAATAGCTCATGGAGCATAATTTAGAAAACACTACACAATGCTTAACGCCCATTAACAAAATATACTGACATAGTGAACATAACTCATGACTCAGTCATCACAATATCCATCCATTATCAGACAGTACCTGACCGTAAAAGAGGATCTACCTCCTCTCTCGTGTGATTTGTGCTATAACCAGGGGCAGCCTGCCTCCACCTAACAGCCTTTCTTCTTTTCCAACATGCTGTTTCTCATCTGTTGTAGTCTGAGAAATCAGGTGACCAAGATTATTAGGACAGTGTGCAGGGAAGTCCATAAGCTCTGAATGATGGGCCAAGGGCCTGTTCTAGAGAATAAACTGCTCGGACGGTAGTGCAAGAGTTTGGAGACAGTTATGTCTGTGGCTAAGGCAACGATGTGCTTTCTTCGCAGGCCTTGGATATATGGTAGAGCCCTACAGCTGTCAAGAAAAAAACACCCCTGGCTAAATAAAAGTGCACGACCTCAATACCAAAGCCGGAAACAGATCTAAAAACCCAAAGTTCTTTTATAACCCATTACGCAGCAAGACCCAACCGATTCTGAGGTAAGGCTGTTTAACTAATCACTAGCTATGCCGTTTTGTGTGACTAGCCATGAGTTTCACTGTATAGATATCAGTGCGTTGTATTACGGAGAGTTTCCTTAACCTTGCTAAGTATACTATTATCTTTCTAAAATCAAAAATTCTGAAATCTGGCCTAGAAGTATGTATGGCCTATAGTAGGGCCTCGGTGAGGGGGAAGAAGCCAGCTGCTAAATCTCCTGTAGAGCTTTGCGTTTCTCCTAAAAGACCACAGGATCAAAAAGAACCAGCACGGGACACTTGGCATACAAGGCATTTAAATTTCTGTGGACGGGGCCTAAGGCTGGAGACCCGAATGAAAAGATCTGAAAAACTAGAAAGTGTTCAAGTAGGGCAACTGTATTATGCAACTGTACACAAAGTGTATCCTCTGGGGGAAGAGAATAACACTGCTCAGTACTAAACTCATTACAGAATATGTCATCATATCTAGAAGCCAAGTTATTTAATAGTTTTAAAACTGTAAAAAGACTATTAGGACCCTCCTCAGAATGGAATGCTAGAGTCCTGACCAGAATGCCTGATAATCTCAGTAAAAGAAAGTTATCTTCAGGCAAGTCCACTTTATCTTTCCCCTAGGAAACAGTGAAGGGACACTATTTCAAGCACTTGGGAATCTGAGGGCTATGTGTGTGTCAGATTGCAATCGCTTGGTAGGCCCCAGCTTACCTGTGAGAAGCAGCCTTCTTTGGTGCAAATTCATATTCTTCTGGATACCAGCGTCTATACACAGCAGAAATGGAACTCTCAAAGGAAGCTGTCTCAAATACACTGAATATTACCTCCTCCAAGTAATTAATGAACACTGAAAAGGGCATTTGCATGGTGACTCTCAAGTTGCTTCTTTGCCTAGGGCTTTACCGTCCACCCTCTCCTCTCTTCATTCTAAATATTCTCTTTGAACAAACTCATCAGTATGTAAGATTCTTAAATGTGTAACTCCAGCCCAGCTCTCTCCAGAATTCCTGTCATGGATATCCAACTGCCTACGAGACATCTCAACCTAAAAATCCACCAGACACTCCTGGTTCAACATACAGAAAACCACTCAGCCTCAAAACCTCCCTCTACCCACCCACCCAATTTACTTTTATTCCCCCCTTTTTTGAGAAGTTCCACCATCTGCCTAAACTGCCCAAGCTAGAAACATCAAAATCGCTTTACACCTTTCACTTCACTCGCCCATTCAATGCTATGCCAACTGATCTCAAGGATTTAATCTCCGCACTCCCCACTACCACCCAAGTGCCATTTCCCCAGCATTCTTTTCCCTCCAAGATAATAAAAAAAAATCTCTTTCTTAACTCCCTGCATTTTTCTTGCCACCAACAGATCAGAATAGTCTAATCATATATCACTCATTCTTCTTACTTCAGCTTTCTCAAAGGAAGCCCATCCCTTCCAAGATGAGATGTAACCTCCCTGGCATGGCACACAAGCCCTTCATAATCTATCCTTACCTCCAGCCTTTGCCAACCTCATGCGTGGCACTCCAGCATTCATGACTCTGTAATTCCTTGAACACATTTTGCCTTAGCTACCTGCTCCCTCACATCCTCATACCTCCATCTGTTCCCTAGAAGGCGTTCAACCCCTCCTACACACCTGAAACACTCCCACTCTTTTTCGTCTCAACTTAAGAGAGCTATTTTCTATGAGAAGCTTTCCCTGACTGCCTATTCCTCCTGCCCCAGCGCAGTCAGGTGCTCTTGCTCCATGCCCTTGACATTCTACATGCACAGAGAATAGTGTTAGAGTGTGTTCTCCGCACACTGTCAACCCACTAGATAGATTCTAAGCTATTTAGGGCCTTTTTCTCTCTGTTCCCAACAGATAGGCCAATGCTGGCATAGAGTGGGTCCTCAACACATTTTCTGGACTAGTGAAATTCATATGGAAGACTCATGCCATGATTTCTCCCAATTCTTACCAGTTCAGGGTAAATTAAGGTCCGGCACAAGTAAGAGTGGGAGGAGGAAGATACGCACCCACTGGGCACCCTCAGCGCTACAGCTCTATTCACTTTCCACAAAGTCTCAATGAAAACATGCTAAATGAGGCAACTTAATGGATCCTAAATACAGCCCTTACCTGCACAGTTCTTTAACAGTGCTCACATCAATTATTCTATAATGAAGATGTTTCATGAACTGGGGCATGTATTTGTCAAGAAACTTCTTATCTGCATGAACTGAATTTCCTAGAAAGACACGAAGCATACTGCGTCTGTGTATTTCTAGTAATAATACAACAGGATACAAAAATTCATCAATTGTATTTGAAATGAAGATGATTTTTTTTTTAATTCAAACAACTCTTAAAAGCCATTTCTACATCTGTAAATCTGGTTTGAGTGCATCTGATTAGCCTGTTAAGTGTAGATTTATGAGCATTTAGTCAACCTGGATCGTAATAAATTTGTAAATGGTCTCTCATGGAAAAAAAGGATAAATTCATCATTACATATGCTTAAAATATTACACAGCTCAATTTGTTACTTTTAAAAATTATAACAGATGTACAAACTTTCTCCCAGTGTCACAAAATCCACACCACTAACACTAAAATTTTAATCTTATCATATTAGTAGATAAGCCTTTATTAGCATTCCAAATTTTTTAACAAACGTATCCATATTCATGTTTCCATACAGTAAGTTTTAAAGAACTTTAAAATAGACATTCACACTAACAGAAACATTTACACAACATATGCTCTAGCACTTTAATACCAGAACTTTTTAAATGAATGCTTAACGAAAGTATTAGTTACCATGCCAATTTACATATATTAATACAAATACAACTTCATAGAACATTCATTTCCCTCTGACAATGGCAGCCCTTTAAAAATCTTGGTAGAACTGGCTTGGTCTCTTTAAAAAGTCAACATAATGGGGCAAAAAGATAAATGGACAGGCTTAAAGTAAGAGACTAAAGAGACAAAAATAATCAAATGAAATGTATGAGCCTTGATAGAACCCTGGTTGAAAAACAATTAGACATTTTGGGTAGTGTCTGAATGTGTACTGTATAGCACAAGCTACTGCTGAATAACTTTTGATTATCTTCAATTCAATAATGATATTATGTTATATAGGAAAATTTCCTTATTACTAGGAGATGCTTAAAGTATTTAGGAATAAAGAGCCACAATATCTTGCAATTTACTTTCAAATGTCCAACAAAAAATAGGTAAAACCACCAGGGAAGAAGGGTAACAATGACTAAATCCAATTTGTGTGTGCATTTGAGATATTTTTATAATAAAAATATGGGGGAGAGGGACGTTTTATTGAGTCTGTGACACCCAGATCTCATGTCAGGTTTTGGTGCATATTCCCAATATTCATGTTATTAACTATATAAGGCAACCTGAAGACAAAAATAAAATAGATAACCCAAACTGGGGTAAGCAGAAGACACAGACAGCTTTGTCTGGCCTTTCCGGAACTGCAGTCTCTTGAACTACTACAATGGAAGACTATCTACAAGACATATGTAGGATTAGATTTTACCTGCAAGTGGACAGAGCCCCGGAGGAGTCTGCTGTCGTACAAAGGACAGAAATTCATACTCTGCCTGCTGCAATGTAATTGTACTCTCCTTCACTGCCTTGGTAAGACCAGACTGCAAGAGAAAATCCCAGCCCCCACCAGAAACACATGAAGTCAGTTTTCAAAGGCATCCAGAAATGAAACTTCACTTCTAAAATGGGCAAACATAACCAGAGATGGATCATTTTTAGAGCTCGAGTTGAAACTGAAACGGCCATCTTTGCACCATTTTTTTTTTTTCTTAAAGAATCCAAGCCAAATAAGTTACGTTCCTGTTTGTTAATAGCATTTCCACACAGTCAAAAAAGATGGTGCCCAAAGTCCAAGGATATAACCTCTGGGAAGAAACAACTATTAACAGGAGAGCAGCATTCCCCCTTCTCTCCAAGTTGATGTCTAGCCTTATCCAAAAGACTGACTTGTGTAATACTTGACAATCCACAATGCGTTCGCGACAGACTGAATGAAGGAGAGAAAAAAAGAGGACATTCAGGAGAAGATGATCTCAAGAGGTCCCAAAGATGAAAAGTAAACAAGCAAGCAGTTTCCCAGGCTTGCCAAGCAATCTTCCTCTACCCCTTTTTAAAATACCATCCAACAATGGTATAGGATTCGTTGTGGGAGCAACGAGCTTGTAAATGATCCCCAAAGCAGCAATCCTGTTATTTGGTAATGTTACCTTCCCATGATGCTCCTTACACCAATCTGACATGCTGTCCAGCAATTCGTCTGGCTGTTTTATGATCAGGTTAGGACCCTGTGGATGGAAAAGGCTATTAGTTACCAAGAGGCAAAAGGAATAACTTTGTTATCAGAGGTAAAGTTTAAGATGCTTTAATGACTAAACATAACTATCAGAGAAACTAAGTGATAAGGATACTTAGTTCATCTTAAAAAAATAAAAAAGATACACTCAACTGAAACAAAATGCCTATTAACAGAGCACACAGGTACCTATCAACGGTCAGCAAACTATGGCTCTAGCTTTTGGCTGTTTTTTTATGGCTAGAAAGCTAAGAATGAGTTTCACATTTGTAAAGGCTTATGAAACAAGCAAAGAATATATGACAGAGAGGTATATGGCAGTCAAAGACTTTGTAGAAAAAATCCACCAATCTGATTATGAATTCAAAAATAAGTTGCCAAGAAAATAAGTTGCAGAATGGTATACATGTGCATGTGATTTCATTTACATGTGTTTTTAAAAATACACAAAAACATATACCCATAAAATAACCAAAAAATGTACAAACTTTAAAGTAGAAGAGAAAGGGGCAGGAAAGAACAAAAACTAAGAACTTACTCCATATATACTCTGGATAAAGGTATACTGTTTCATTTCAACCTTTTCTGTACATTTTTTAAAATTTTTTATTTTTTATTCTTTGAGGGAGAGTGAAAGAAGTTCATTGAGGAAAGTGTGCAGAGCAGATTACACCATAGGTAGAGCAGCCCCTTGAGAAGAAATAGGTGAACAGTTGCATTTCTTCCTCTGAAAGGAAGGAGAGGGCTATTACCGGGAAGGGAAGACGGAAGGGCTACCCCGTAAGTAGGACAGCCCTGACCTTTGGTATGTCTCCGCATATAAAAAAACTTTTTGAATTGCCAGAGGGCATGTGAGCTCACCAGAGAGAGACAGAAGGAGAGAAAAGGAGAGACAGCTTCCCGCAATGGGGCGTGGTCACACCAGAATCCCATGCTGATAGGATGTGGGGAACACATACACGTGTGCCCAGCGTGCTTTTCAAGACACTGAGACCAAGGTTCAAACCATGGTTGGCCACATGGGATCCAGTTCCCTTAACCACTAGGCCACAAGACTGGCCCCCAAAACCATTTTATTAAAGAAGTAATTGATGACATCTGAAGAAAACAAAAATGTGGCCCTCAAAATCTTAGCCGTGTTTTAACACAACATCGAATGGTGAGTCTCTCCAATAGGGTCGGAGGAGGAACAGGAGTCTGGCCTGTAGCATTAAAGCAGTCACCCAAGCTTCTCCTTCAGTAAGATGGTGATAAGAAGAAGCCGACTCCCTTCCCTCACAGGGATGTTAACAGTTTAAGAGAAATCATAAATGTCAAAGTTCTTTGAACTCTCTGGAAGAAAAGTACTGTATAAATCCAAGGTATTATTACTATGAAGGCAGTAAAAATAGTTTACAACCACTGAAAGGAATGCTAGAATCTGATTAAAATATGCCTGACATCCTACAACTAAAAACGAGTTCTAACCAAACAAGAAAACTGATGTTGACAATCTCCACGGAGAAACCAAAAATTTGCTCTGATAACATTAAAAAAAAAAAAAAAAAAAAACACTCATATTGTTAAAAAATTCTAACAACTACAAAGGAATGTACAGTACTGTAAGTCTTACATAATATAATCTATTCTAGATCCTGGTTTGGCAAGCTAAATTACCCACAGAATAATCCTGCTTGGGCCCAGCAGGCAGCATAGTGGTTATGTCACTGGACTCCCACTTGGCCGACTGTGGTTCGAGTCCTGGACCCAGTGGCTTGAAACTCACCCCAGGAGTGTGTGCATGTGTGCCCAAAATTCCTGAGAGGAGAATGGAAGAAAAGGGATTGCAGCATGGCCATCCTTCTTGGGGGGTGATTTCTCACTTTCTCTCTTTGTATCTCCAGTGATAACACATGTCCTACAGCAAAAATCTCTCAAAAAAAAAAAAAAAATAGGATACTTTATGCATCTACTAGCATAAAACATTTTTCACAGACTCTTAAATAAGAATAAAACATATTTTCTCCAGAATGGACACCCCTCAGCATTTCTTAAAAAACATCCTTATCCTGATCTGACTTAGTTCATTTACAAATGCCACACTCATCTGCAGCTGTGGGAATACATACCCAAATTTCCTCCAGGGTACATATCAACCTACTAGTCCATTAAACTGTCAGTAGTGCACATTATATCAACAATCTACAGGAAAAACTCTCCTTCGGCCAAGGGTAAGTAAGGTCGGTAAAATAAAGACACTCCTCTTCCCTATTCATCTCTAGTAAACTCTGAGTAACAGAAAAACAACTAAACCTAAAACTCAGGGCTTTATTTATATAAAGTTTAAAAAAAGAAGAAAGACAAAGTTGTTATGATGGGAAATACAAAGTCTCATGACTCTTCTCCAGCTGACGTGTCAGGAAGACAAGCCTGTGCTCCACAAATGCAGCAATTCATCTATAAATATTTTCTCGGGTGTTTTGATTTGTTTCCCACTGGGTCTATGCACTCAACAAAGTAAGACAGAGACAGAGAGAGAGGAAAAGAGAAAATGTCCCCGAGTAGGGTGTGGTCATGCCACAATCCCTGCACCTCCATTTCTGCAACCTGTTGGGATCTTGGGCACACGCACATGCACCTGGCATGTTTTTTAAGCAGCCAGGCCTGGGATTCGAACCCCTTGGTTGGCCAAGTGGAATCTGGCTCCCCTAACAACATGGTCACTGGTTCGGCTCCCTTCTCACTTTTATCTACCCAGGAAACTAAATAAATGGAAGCCTCAACTGCAAATTTGTGACACTTATCCAGTGCCAGTAACACATGAATCCTACCCCCCGGGAACTTAAATTTTAACAGGACTCACTTTTCCACCAACGTCCCTCCTTCATGCCTGATGTAGACTATCTTAATGACTTTGAATACTGCTGACAGCGTAAAAGACAGAGCTATTCAAGGTCCAGGATCTCACCCCCTACCAATCAGATGATATGACATACTTATATTAAATGTTTCATGAGAGGCTGAAAAGCAACAGGTGTGTTTTATTTGTTTTGCTTAATGTTTCAATTAAAAGTAGCACATAAAAACCTTCATCGTGCCCGATAAGTCAACAAAAGAACACTTCACAGACATGCATCAAGAGAAATGCTAAAATCCTAATAAAAATCTAGAAGAAGCACATGTCCTCGTTGAAAATACAGAACTAGTATACGGGGTCAGGTTCAAGTCAAGGTTAGATATAAAGATGTAAACTCTGTCATGAGTCACTACACCTGACAGGACATGTTGTTGGTTGTCTTACTGGTTAGCTTTACTGAGACTGCCCACGTTAAACTACTGGCTTCCCCAGTAACGAGATGGGTGGCCCTGGGCACATTACCCAACATGTCAGTGCCCAAATGTTCTCATTTATAAAGTGAGCATCATAACAGTACCTACCTCATCGCTGTATGGACTGAGAATGAGTACATGTAAGGCACTTAAAACTATGCCTGGCACACCGTAAACCTTCAGTAAATTACACAGTTTATGTTTCTGTAAATTTGAGGGACGGTTCATTGAAAACTTAACTAGGTTGTGGGTATTTTGGTTCTACTAACCTTTAGATGACCCATTATTTGGGACCTTAATCTACATTAACTTCAGTTTTCTTATTATTTAAATAAAGAGATTAGAACAAAAATGATCTCCCAGACCCAGTGGCTTAAACTCACGCCGGGTGTGTGTGCGTGCATGCCCAAGATCCCGAGAGGAGAATGGAGGAGAAGGAATCACGGTGTGGTCATTCCCCCCAGGGCGTGATTTCTCACTTTCTGTCTCTCTGTCTCTGTGTCTCTGTCTGGCGAGTGCACACGCCCTATAGCAAAAAAAAAAAAAAAAGAAAGAAAAAGAAAAAAAATGATCTTCCCATTCCCAGTGCCTTCTGGATAATGTGACTTTATTACAAGGTACCACCTACTTCAGCCAAAATGTTGAGATCAGAGTCAGTTATCAGACAGGCCATCTCAATAATCTGGTCCTTCTCAATGTCCAGTCCTGTCATCTGCAATACAAAACACATACATAACACACTGAAGGTCATCTTTCTGGACTACTGTACCCAAGTTTCCTTAACAGGAATTCCCTCAAGCATATTCAGCTTATATTCCACCAGCAGAAGAGACAAGGCTCCTCGGGAACCAGCAGTTAGCGTAATGGCTATGTTGCAGGACTCCCACGTAGTTGACTGCGGTTCGCATCCCGGACCTGGTGGCTTAAATCTCACGACGGGCACGTGTGCGTGCGTGCCCAAGATCCCAAGAGGAGAATGGAGAAGGCATTGCGGCGTGACCATCCCCCCTGGGGGGTGATTTCTCGCTGTCTCTCTCTGTCTGACGAGCGCACGTGCCTTATAGTGAAAACCTCTTTAAAAAATAAAGAAATAAAAAGAAAAGACAAGGCTCCTGGAGCAAGAGTTCAGGATCCTAAACCTGAGTCCTCCTTTATTCAGAACACTTACCAAGGGCCTGCATTTGTCCAGCACCGTGATCCTACTCTGGGACAGAGGCAAAAGAAGTAAATTCGAGAGCTAACCACCCTGTATTTCAGAAGAGTTAGATAACAGCACCACACCTCTGCAGAATTTACAACATTTTCAGAGTAATACACTGCTTGATCATCAGAATCTAATATTGAAAGTACTGCTACTCTCATTTCAAATAAGAACTGAGGTCAGGAGAGGAGAGAAGAAGCCCTCGGTCAGAGTGTGGAAAACCTGCTGGGATCAGAACTGGGTTCTGGTACTAACACCGATCCTCTCCAACAGCATGACCTTGAATGAGCCGAGTTCTCTCTGGGCCTCAATTTTCCCATTTATGGAATGAGGGGTAAGGCTGAGTCATCTCCGGAGTCCCAACTAACTCTAACAACCTAGGGTTCTTTAAGGTTTGGGGGAGGCAGGAGCGGCGCCGCTGTCCCCAGCTCCACCCCAGGGGCACCCGGGCGTTAGAAGTCCACGTCTGGGTGGAGAAGGGAGCCATATGGATGCTCCTCCCTTCTGAAAAGAAATCCCACAGTCCAGCACGGAGCCCCCAACACCTAACACCAGCACCCGCGGGCATCCTGCCTCGGGACTGGCCGGCACCGCCCACAGCC